AAAAGGTCATATATTAAATGTCAACAGTAGTTAACTATGGACAGTAGAATCCTATGGAGTTTATATGTATGTCTCCTATTAATTTCTGTAAACATGGGTCTTTTGGATAAAGATAGGTAAGGTGTTTTAATCTTGAAATTAATTTTAGTTTCTCATTAGAATGTCAGCCTATAAACTTTGGTATGTAATTTGGTGGGGGGAGTAACATAAATAAGTTGATCCCTAGGATTATAGCTGTCTCAAGGAACCCACAAGCTAGGACATGAAAGAATAGTCCCCCTAGGACAATAACCTCTATCTCAGAGAGTAAGGCAACTTCGAGGCTTACTAGGAATAACTGGACACTGCAGGCTTTGGATTCCAGAATATGAGGAATTAGCTAAGTCTCTTTACATCCTCCTTAAAGAAACTTTACACCAAGGAACAACTGCCATATGGGAGCCAGAACATATTAAAGCCATTAAGGCATTAAGGGGGACTTATTTTAAGTCCTTGCTCTCACATTACCTACTGAACAAAAATTTAACCTGTTGTCACTGAGAGAGGATGAATAACCCTGGGAGTGGTCACAGGAAAGAGTGGACCTGCTCAACAGCCAGTAGCTTATCTCAGTAAGGAGATTGACATATTGTTTGCAAGTGGTTGCAGCAGTTGCCCTGCTAGTCCCTGAGGCAACCAAAAGCACCCTGGGAAAAGACCTCATTGTCTACACCTCCAATTGTCACCAGCCGGCCATGGACTGTGTGTGGACTGTTGCACTGTAGCCTCCTGAGGGGATAGGTCTGGCATTTCAAACTCCCTGTTGAAAGAAAGAAAAGTGACCCCCAACACTTGGAGCGACCAAGAGATCTTTATTGCAGCAGTGAGAGAGAGAGAGAGAGAGAGAGAGAGAGAGAGAGAGAGAGAAGCGAGAGAAGAAAGAGAACAAAAGCAAAAGCAAGAGAGATCAAGACATAGGGACCCAGCAGGAGGGAGTTTTTATAGCCAAAATCTAATTGGATCTCTGGTTCTGCAAGCTGCCTTGTTGTGGTACAGTGACTGGATCATAAGTAGTGTCATCTTCTGCCTTCAGGCAAACGGGGCAGGTACTAGATGTGGGTTTCCTTGCACCAGACGGGTGGGGTCAAGTGTTCAGCCTTGAGTGGGGTTGAGTGTTCAGACCTGATGCAAACAGGTGGTAAAGGACCAGACAGAGGGGGTTTGAGTGCCTGGATTATCCTGCAGCTAATGTTTGTTCAGCCTGCCCTGCAAACAACTTAGTTCACCCTGCTCTGCACCTAATACCTGTAGCACCCCCTCAAGGACTGATCACCTGATGCAGATGAACCTCCCTCCCAAGCTCTGCCTAAGATCCCACACAGCACCTGAGATGGGTGTGACATGCCAAGATGACAATCTGCTGACCAGAAGACTCCACCCTTGAAACTTTATCCCTGCTTTTGAAGTCCCTGTTATATATAAACCAAAATAGGGCTCATTCTCTCACTCTTTTTCCTGGAAGCAGGACCTTTAAGGTCGCAGACTCATCCCACCCTGGATTCCAAAACTATTTCTGTTTCAGGTGACTTTTCAGTTGTATTTTGCAGTCAGCTCACTACACGTATGGGAGGGAACACTGCATATCTTGCCTGCGCGGGTTGCTGGTGAGATTTGGTGCCTGGGACAGGGACTTTCTCATTGCATAGATTCAAGGTGAATGGTGAGATCTAACAGGTGAGGTCCGGCCTTCTCTCATAGGTAAATTGTGCTTATGGTATAGATATCATGTTTTAAAAAAATGTGGATTTCCTGTATAACGGATTGAAGAATTATTGAATGGAAAAGTTTTAGAAGAGAATTTTGTGGATATATTGTATTGTGGATCGTAGTGTTATGGATAGAAATATTTTGAACAGGATTAGCATGGAAATTCAGTGCACCATGGATTAGTTTTTGAGAGTAAGAGGAATGGGGAAAGATTTCTTTTACTGTGAGACATTAAGCACGAGGAATTCTCCATTTAGGAGAAACAATTTTACAAAAAAGCAAGCAAACAAAATAAAAAGACTACTGCTTTCGGGAATATGCAGGCAATTTGAACTGGGCTGGCGGAACCCGCTGACCCTCTCGCTGCATCCTTGCGGATTGCTGCAATCAATAACCTAACTTAGAGCTGTAACCCGGAGGGGCTTTATTTATGCAGATTTGGTATTCTATGACAGGAGCAGGGCTCTAACCCACTGATTCCTTCGGGGGTCCACCCAAGAACAGATCCGCCACCAGCAATGTTTTTGCCCCTTAGACACCTAGTTTGGGCGCGGCGGCCCTGGGAACTGCTAGCTCTCGAGTTACCTTTGGAGAATATTTGTGGTGTGCACCATTTCGCGGGTGCTTGGGCGCCTGCCCGCGAGCGGGAGGGACACAGGCAGGGCTGCTGTTCCAGCCCAAGGCTCTGGGGCGATAAGGAAACGCCCGCCCGCGGGAACCCCTGCGCAATGCTGCCATTGAGGGGGTTCCAAGCGGTGAGATGCAAGCGGGTTGGGCAAGATGTGGGCGACTGGGGAAGCTCTGGGAGTGGGCGGCGGCTGGCGAAGCACTTGCCCCAGCCTTAGGAATCAGGCACCACGCACAGCAGCACAGCAGCAGACGTGGTGGCTCGCTAACAGGCGTCCACAGAAGGCTGCCAAGGCTCCGGGGAAGCTGCAGCTCTCTGCCCCGCGGGAGTCCAACCAGGACTATTTCAGATGGACGGCCTGGAGGGCACTCAGGACGCGACTACAGGAGGAGTGGGAACCCCGGGACTGCACTCCCACCTCCCACACTTTCGTGGACTTCTGTTTGGTCCTTCCCGCTGTCACTCAGGCGGGGCTTGGCCTCTTGGTCTTTGCTAACCCGCATCTCACCATCTCTCCCTTACTGGTGACTGAGTTACACTCCCCAGCTGGGTGCTGAGGCGCTCAGTCACAGAAATGGGTGTGTCTTGCTACAGTCCCATGGGTGAAGCTATGCTCACCTGTTCCTTTGTAATATAACCCCTTGCCCTGTTTAGGATAGAATCTTCCATGGAAGTGCCTTGTGTGTGTCCCCTCCTCTTACTGTGCCCTTGGGTGTGGCCTACCCAGGTGTCAGTCAACCTGCTGACAGTGGACATCATGAAGATAGACTCAGCCCCTGAAACCTGACCCCTTGCCTCATTTGAATAGCTTCTCCTCAATAAAAGGGGTCAGCGCATGCTCTCTCTCTCTTTCTGCAGACCCTTAAGGTCAGAAGAGCCTTCACAGCAACCCCAAAGAAAAAGGTATTTGTGTCTCTTGTGTGGTTATTTCGTGCAGCCCAGTTAGCCCAGTTTAACTAGAGTGACCCCTGAGCCTTTTAGTCCTAGAACAGAAACCCGGCAATTGGCGTCCAACCTGGGGCGAAAGGTCTTTAAGCCGCCAGTACAAAAGCGACAAATGCTGGCTCCTAAGGGGACTCCAATTTAAATATTAAAGAAAGTTAGTGAAGTTGAAAGTTCTCTCCAGAAGTTAAGCATGCTTAGGATTGCAGAGTATTGTGGGCAAAATTGTAGAAAGTAAGTGAATTAGACAAAAGGAAAATCTGTGATGTTAAAATTTTTAATATTGGGTATAATTGTAGAGACTCTAAATAAATATAGTTATTAAGATGATTGATGGGCTATGTTGTTGAGTTGAGTCCTCTCCATGGAAAGCGCGCTTTTGTGGATTTTTTATACTTGTTTTTATAAATCTTTATACAAGATTTTTTGGGGGCTAGGATTGTTGCTTAGCGGTAGAGTGCTTGCCTAGCATGGGCGGAACCTGAGTTCGATCCTCAGGATCACATAAAAAAAAAAGCTAAAAAAAAAGAGAGAGAGAGAGAGATTTTTTGGCCTTTATGTTCTAGAAGTTTGTGCTAGGAGAGTGAGGCCCTAAGTAAGCAACTTAGTGAGACCCTGTCTCTAAATAAAATACAAAAAGGGCTGTGGCTATGGCTGTGGCTTAGTGGTTAAACACCCCTCATTCTATCCCTGCTACCTACCCCATATATATTCACAATGAGTAATAAAACAATTAAAATATTTCCTATAAACTGCATAAATTGTCTCCCCCATGCAAGCCTGAATCCTCTGGTATTAGCCACACACTCAAGATAAAAAGTTTTATGGAATTATTTATTATCCTCCCAGGGAGGATACATTTCAAGCATGTATTGGGAATGTATTCTCCACTGGAAAGTCTTTTACACTCACAATGAATACTGTCAAGTTCTTCTTGAGAAAAGTTGTACCAGTTTGCACTGTTACTATAGTAACAGTTTCAACTTCCCTTGCCAATGCTGGGTTTTAACAATTACAAGTTTTTACAAAACATTGCCCTAGATGAAATGATGCATCAATTTGCACAGCAATTTATTCTAGGAAATGGTTTAGAGGCTCATACATGTATGGTTATTGCAACGTTCTCTTTTTGTTAAAGTAACTAACCAGAGACCATCTTTATCTTCATCAACAGGAAGCTGGCTGCATATAAATCTGACAGTCATTCCATAGCTTGCCAAGCAGAGCTAAGAAGAAAAGTACCTGTACGATGCTCTAGTCTGGGAGAAACTTCAAGAAGATTTTAAGACATACACTGGGAGCAGCAGAACGTAAAAGGGATCATATTTGCTTTGAAGATAAGCATTAATACACGGACACAGCTCTCCTTTTCCTAGCAAGAACAGAGTTCCCAAAACCTATCCCTAGTTTGCCTGTCTGCTTGTAGAAAAAAAAGAAATACATTTGAAAAGCCACAGGTATTAGTCATCAACTCTGGTGATTCTGCAGTGAAATAATCAAACCACCTTATGTCACATTAGAACAAAAACAGGGTACCAGCATGCAGGGTGGGGCGAGGGAGCTCATGAGGATGCCCTCTCCCTCATCCACCACTGTGGCTTCCTTCTGTTGCTTCCAGAGCTTCTGGTGTGCTCCTTAATAGGGGACCTGGTACCTCTTTTGTGAAGCAGCAGGTGAGACTCTGGCGCTCGCCATGGCTGATGAAAGGTCCAAGGAAGGAGTTAAGACTGAGAACAACCATCATACTAACTTGAAGGTGGCAGGGCAGGATGGTTCTGTGGTGCAGTTTAAGATTAAGAGCCTCTTAATCTTAAACTAATGAAAAGCCTATGGTGAATGACAGGGTGTGTCAATGAGGCAGATGGAATTCTGATTTGATGGGCAGCCAATTAATGTAACAGACACACCTGCACATGGAAATGGAGGATGAAGGTGCAGTTGATGTGTTCCAGCAGCAGACAGGAGGTGTCTACTAAAAAGGGAACCTGCCGCTTTAATCCAGAGTTCTCTCTGTTCTTACAGACCAAGAACATATTCTCAATTTGAAAAGTGCAATTTGGTTCCACCTCATCCTGACTACCACAGTACATTATTCTTTTATTTTCCACTTTCCCGTTTCTTTATTGTACATAAAGTAACTGGTGTATGTGCACAAGAATATTGCATTTAAATAAACTAAATGGCCAGTGATATGTTTTGATTGACATCCAATGGAGACGGATGGGGAAAATACTGGTTCTGTGAAAATATGCCCTTTATCTGTTAGTGGCATGCTCATTCAGACCTTATCTTTATATTCCAGTAAGTTATTTTGCTCTCAATGTTTTAACAAACAACAACAACAACAAAAGAAGCACACTGTGTAGCATAAAAATACTTGCATACCTTGTTCGATTGGAGACTTTTAATGTTTTTCAGTTATCATTGTAAAACCAAGAGCAATTGTATAACTTTTTTTGTATGTAGCTGCTACATGTAGGGCAATCTGTCTTTAAGTAGGGGTAAATTACTCTTTAAAAAAAATCCTATCATGGTTGGTGGCACAAGCCTGTATGTAATCCCAGCAGCAATGGAGGCTGAGGCAGGAGGATCTTGAGTTCAAAGCCAGCCTCAGCAATGGCAAGATGCCAAATAACTCCTGAGACCCTCTCTCTAAATAAAATACAAAATAGGGCTGGGGATGTGGCTCAGTGGTAGAGTACCCCTGAGTTGAATCCCCACTATTCCCATTCACCCTACCACCAGAAAAAAAAAATTCCTAGTTTTCCCTTCAACTCAAGTGTCTTGTTTAAATATAAAACCACAGTCCCACCCCAGAGTCTTGAAGGAGTCGCTGACTTTGGTAGCAAACAGCACGGAGTGCTTGGGACATGACTAAGAAGGGCCCACTTCTCCAGCCCCAGACCATCTTGATCAGGTTCCAGGCTCCTGTCAGATGCCTGCTCCTCATCCACATCCCCACCAAGTACAGCAACAGTTGCCTGACAGGATGCTAACACTAGGCATGAAACTCAAAACTGCTGTGCTTTTTTAAATACATGTTTAAGAAGAAGAGAAAAAGCAGCAAAACTCAATTGTGAAAAAAAGACTTGCAAAACTTGGATTTCACCTACAGAATAGCACCCACGAAAACCCGTGAAAAGTCAAGAGAATGGTACCTTTAAGAGTACAAATGAGCTGGGCATGGTTACTCACACCTGTAATCCCAGAAGCTAAGAAAGCTGAGACAGGAGGATCATGAGTTCAAAGCCAGCCTCAGTAATGGAGAGGCACTAAGCAACTCAGTGAGACCCTGTCTGTAAATAAAATACAAAATAGGGTTGGGGGTTTGGCCTAACATAATTGGTGTATAACACTACATGTTATAATCAGAAAGATGCATATTTTGACGAAGAGTGGAGAACAAAACAATTTTAAGAAAGAATTCCTGCAAAATAAGAGAAGAGAAAGGTAGAGTTCAAATAGTACTAGGTAAGAATGTTCTGCAGCCTGAAATCATACAGAAGGCAAGCACATTCCTTTGAGATAAGGATTACTAATATAAAGAAATATGAATATTCAGAGCAAAACAAAAATAGATAGCATCCTTTGAAAGGAGCAATTTTTTAATATTGTGGAAGAAAAAAAGAGAAAATGTATTATGCATAAAAATTAGAGAAAGGAAAATAAAACTAATTATCTGCTTATGTCAAGGTCAAATTCAATATTTGGAACATGCTTAACAAAGCAAAATAATCTCTTGTGAAATGCATGTTGGTGGCTTTTCATTTTATGTTCACAAATATATTTTTAGATAAATAAATATTAATTCATTCTATTTTTAATTATCATCCAGTAGTGCAGGTGTCAGAGGCTTCAATGCTGTTCACCATTGTTGCTGGTGTTGGTGTTTCCTGTTAGTTTGTTGGGGAGGAGGGACCTTAGACAAAAGATCTGAAATACACCACAGTGTATCTCCACATCTGTACAGCCACAGGATGGGGACCTTAATTAGAAGAAGATGTTTGTATAAATATACCAAATCACACTCTACTGTCGTGCATAACTAAAAAGAACAAATAAAGTAAATAAATAAATAAGGGAAAGATTTGAAATAAGTTTGTTTCTTGTAGGAACATTTTATGTTCACTGTTGCTAGGTCACATGGGGTCTGCCAGCCAGAGCTGAATAGTGGGTTATGCTGTTTCTAGGCAGAAAAATGCTCACATGGCAGTGAACATCAAGGCATCCCATGAGGTGGTTCCAGCAATAAGTATTTCCTTGCTTACTTGTATTCTTTTTTTTTTTGGTACTGGAGATTGAACTGAGGGGCACTGATCACTGAGCCACATTCCTAGCCCTACTTTGTATTTTACTTAGAGACAGGGTCTTTCTGAGTTGCTTAGTGCCTCTCCATTGCTGAGGCTTTGAACTCATGATCCTCCTGTGTCAGCCTCCCTAGCTGCTGGGATTACAGGCAAGCACCACCACACCCAGCTCATTTGTACTCTTAAAGGTATAATGCTCTTGACTTTTTACAAGACTTCCTGGGTGCTATTCGGGATGTGAAATCCAAAATTAATGAATTCTTTTCAAAGACAAAATCTTACCATAATTTGGACTGGAGTTGTAGCTCAGAGGAACGTGCTCGCCCAGCACAGGCGAGGCCCTGAGTTTGATCCTCAGCACCACATATAAATGAATAAATAAATTAAAGATATTAAAACAACTTACTATGATTCACATAATCTAAGACTAATCTTAAAAAATTTATATCTATTTACAATTTATGCATTAAAATACTGTTAGTCAGGGGGATCCAAGATGGTGGGCTAGAGGGAGGCTGCATTCTGTGTTGCTCTTGAGATACTAATAGTGAGAATACTATTTCTCTGTGAGTTATTGGACGACCCTGACAGCTGCTCCCATGAAGGAATCCTGACTGCTGTGCCCACGAAAGTCTCCACGCCTCAGCACCTGCAGGACCCCTGGATGCCCACCCAAGCAGGAATCTCGGCCTCCATTCCCATGCAGGATACCCAGAAGCTGCCCACACACAGTACCTCAAGCTTCCACTCCCATGTGGACCCCCATCTGCCACTGTGGGGCTCCCTTGATCACCTCCATCACGGTACACTGTAACCACTGCTATAGTTCCCTACATATGGTAGCTGGCACCTGAGGATACAGTACAGAGTCTGAAGACAGCCACCAGCCACAACACTGCAGGCCATAAAGTGGCATCTCTGAACACAATGCCTAGTGTTACCACCTGCCCAACCTGACACCCCATCTCTGAAAGCAGTCGCCTCCATCTTGGGACACCTTTGTCACCATCTTTACTTGGGGCAACTCCCAGCTTGGGATACCAGCTGGGGCTTAGAAGCAACACAAAGGTACCTGTTCTTCCTAACACCCCTCTCCCTTGTAGCCACTAATCTCTCACAGTGCTTGTGGCTGGTCCATAGCTCACAAAGCCTGGCCCTGAACTGACCAATAGAAACCAGCTCTCTGCAACAGGTGTGCAGCCCCCAGAGTGCAGCTCACAAGACCTCCAGAGAGAGAGGTTACTGATCGGGAAGTAGAAAGAGAGAGGTTTAGAGACTAAATTAGAGACCAGGAATTGTGAAGTCTACAGGCAATATAAGGAGATAGGACCAGACGCCCACATAACCCAAGTGGGCTCCAAAGGAGAGCCTTGGGGAGCAGTCTCCCAACAGGGATCAGCAAGTGCTATATCCCACCTCCAGAGCTCTGCCCTCAAGACCAACCTTCTCACCCTAATAACCTTCAGCATTCTGAGGGTGGAGATAGCAGCAAACAACAGACCACCCCACCTATTGGATGAGAAGGGAAGCAGAAAAATGTACTGAACTCAAACAAAAACAATCCTGGTATTTTCCTTTGAGATTTTTTTCTTTCCTTTTTTCTTTCTTTCTTTCTTTCTTTATTTCTTTCACTTTTCTCTCTTTCTCTTCTCCCACTCTCACATCCCCAACATTACCAAGAACTTTTCAAGAATTAGGCTACTAAGGATTGGGATGTCTAAATAGTATATTACAATTGTTTGGTATATTATTTTACCTCCTATTTTTACATTTTTATTTTTCTTAATTTTTATGTTTGTTTATTTTATTTTTTGTACTCTCTCTATTCTCTTCCCCCAAAATTACCTTTTCTTTTTTTCCTGCTATTAGTCAACTTCTTTAGATTCCTCTTTCATGCTTCCTAAGATTCAATAACTCTATGTCCTCACCTCCTACCTCCTTAACATCTCATGCTACATCCCACACCCGGTTCTCTCTTTGTCCACCACCAGAAACTGTAGACTCTTTGCAAATATACTGTTTATATTGTAGATAATAATTAAAATCACCATTTCTGTATATTGTGACAAAACCGTAAATGTCTTAATAGAAGCTATTTGGTTTAAGGGTGTATATTGTTTGTATTGAGATCTGTTAATATTGTTCTCCCCATTAAAGGAGAGATATTGTAATCCTGCAGAGACACTATAAGCCTAAATGGTAATAACTGTAACACTTCAAATCCACAGTGCCTGAAGAGAATATATACAAACAACATGAAAATACAAGGGAAGAAAGTTCCCAAACAAAGATACTACAATATTAGAATCTATTGCTAGCACAGCAGAAGAAATGTCAGAGAAGAAGTTCAGGATGTACATAATTAAAATGTTCTGTGAATTGAAGAATGATATAAGAGAGCAAATACAGGCAGCAAAAGATCAAATTGATAAAGAGCTATATAAGCAAATACAGGAAGCAAAAGATTACTTCAATAAGAAGATAGAAGTTCTAAAATAAACCCAGAAATCTTTGACATGAAGGAAATAATAAACCAAATTAAAAACTCCATAGAAAGCATCACCAACAGATAAAATCACTGGGAAGACAGAACTTCAGACAATGAAGACAAAATATATAATCTTGAAAATAAAGATAACCACACATTGAAGATGGTAAGAAACCATGAG